GAACATTACAGATAAAAATGCTACTGGGAGTCAGGTGTGCGTGATTACCTGCAACTGAAAAGATCTGAGAATCAGAGGTTGGAGAAACATCACGAAAGGAGTCTATTGCATATTTTGTCTTTTTTTCCCCCCCTTTCCTTTTTGCATGGAGCAGAGTTTCTCAAACTTGATCACCCGAAGGGCATGTGAAAGCACAGTTTGCTGGGCCCACCCCAAGAGACGCTGACCAAGTTACAGCAGCCTCTTACTGAATATTACTAATGTTTTTGGGAAATCATGGGAGAGAGCACCTTTTATTCAATACATATTTTTAACCTTTCTATAGTCCATGCTAGTTATTAAGGGAAAAAAGAGAAAAATAGGTAAGTCTCAGGTGGGGCAGGACACGTTCCAGGTGGTGGCTGACGCTGAGTAGTACTGGCCTGGAACACAGAGATCTTCAGTTAAATGTGCAAGCAGGCTGTGGTGGCTAGTGAGTGCCTGGGGTCATCCAAGTGCTTACTGTTTGTGGGATTCATTCTGTCCCCTAAAGTTTCAAGAATACCTGGCCTAGTCAGCCTTTGACAGATTACTGGAACTAAACTACCAGTCCTAACAGTTGGCCATTTATTAACTTGGCTGGGTAGTATGTAGTTAAAAACCACAGGTAACCCAGAAACTTCACTGGAATCAGTGGCTGCAATCCTCTGTTCCAGAGAACTGGGAATGTAATAAAAATTGTGGGGGCGGGGGAGACTTTTTTCAGAATTTTCCCCTTTCCTAACTGTTCTTGAGTATAATGAAACTAAGAAGCAGAAAATGGCCAAATATATGCAACTGAAAGAAAAACAAAAGGCGTGACTGAATCATAAATTGGAATCCCTCCCGCCAGCTCTACCTACTAAAGAGCTGTGTGATTCACGTCTTCCTCCTCACTGCCTGAGTTCAGCTCCTCCTCACCTCCTTCCCTCCCTTGCAGCAGGGCACTCCGGAGCCTGCGTATGTAGGTCTCTGTGCCCCTCCAAGTAGAAAGATCATAAAAAGGGCCCATTCCTCTGAACTGATACAGCCCAGCCAGGTGAGCAGGGCCGGGCTGTATTTCAGTCCTGCTCACTTAGCCAGCGCCCTGTTCTAGCCAGCACCAACTGCACAACTGCATGGGGTCCCAGCATGCCCTCCCCCACCCCATCTGGTGCTCCTCCTGTCCCGTCCACAGTTCATGCCACCAGCATGATCTTCCTCAAATTCCAACCTGTTTGCACACTGGCTTCCAAGTCTCCAGCCTTCCACCACTGCACCCAACATTCTATATGCTATGAAACCTGTCTCTCTTTTCAGCTTTTTTGCCACCTTTTATCACATTTCCCAAGCTTCTGCCAAATGGAGCTTCTAAGCCTGGACATGCCACACTCCTTTATTCCTGTATGGCTTTGTACATACTATTCCTTTAGACTAGAAAGCTTTTCCTTCATGCCTTTCCCCCACGTTTGCTTGGTCAATTTCTAGTCATTCTTTTAAAAAGTAATTTTATGTAAAAGAAACATGGACTTAATTTAAAACTTGGAAAATGCAAAGAATTAGGGGGAAAGTCCATATTAAAATGTTAACTGTGGTTCACATTCTGATTCTTTGATTTTTTTCCAGGTATTTTCTATGCATATATATTTATGGATCATACCTTAAAAGTTTGTATCATGCTTTTTTCATCTAATATAACATTGTAAGATTCTTTCTCAACTTTTATAAATTATTTGAAACATCTTTTTCTAATGGCTACATAATTCTCATGTTTGTGTGTGTGTATACAATTGATCCTTGAACGCAAGGGGTTAGGGTCACCAACTCTACCCCTATAATCAAAAACTCGCATATAACTTTTGACTCCCCAAAAACTTAACTACTAATAGCCTACTGTTGACTGGAAGCCTTACAGATAAATGAAGAGTCACTTAACACATATTTTGTATGCTATACATGTTACATACTGTATTATTACAATAACTTTTTCTTAAATTTTTTTGTATTTCTAGTCTATACAGTTCATCTGTGACTTTTTCCAAATTGTTGCAAATCTCCATTTTTCCAATATATTTGTTGAAAAGAAATCCACGAATCACTGGACCGGCTCAGTTCAAACCTGCATTGTTTAAAGGCCAACTGTATAGTATTTCTGAAGAGTTTGTTTTAACCTTTGTTCTGGTCTTTAGGTGGTTTCCTTTTCATATTTTTCCTATTATAAATAATGCTACAAAGAAGAGTTTAGCACATAACTAAGACAGCTCCTCTGATTATTCTAGAGAATTCTAGAGTGGGATTACTGGAATGGTAGAAAAGAACACTTTTAGATTCTTGTTATGTGCTGTCGGTTACTATTGAGAAAAGGGGGTCAAATTAATAAAGTCACCAGTCATGTTCCTCTTACTAACAGCCTCTCTGTTATTGAGACTCAAATTTTGGGGGTATTGTCCTTGATAATTTGATTTTAATTGTGCATTTCTTTGATTAGGCTAGAAATTTTTCTACATTTTTAACCATATGTAGTTCCTCTTTTGTAAACTATCTCTTGGGGTCTATCAACCAGATTCAAACTTGCTACTTGTTTTCAATAGTTGACTTAAGCATCTTGTCACTGTGAAGTTCTCCTGATATCCTACACACAGCCCCTAGTTCACACCTCTTCTGTGGACTGTGTGTGCACATTTACTCCTGGGACTTCTGTACTCTGCTGTACACTCGACAACGAGAAACTCCTGGGCCAGAGCTGAGTCTTATGTATTCTTTTCCTCAGCACCTCACCAATTGCCTGGCACAAGGTATGAGTCAATGAAGACTTATTTAATGATCCAATGAATAAAAGAAAATAAATAAAAGATCTAACTTCACATGGATTTCATCCGGATGGTATAATGTACATTTTGTATTTAACAGAAAGGATCACTAAGTTCCTTGGATAAAGCTACACAAACTTGTTTAGAGTAATATAAATGCGAACAGAAGAGCATATAAAAATTCATATACTGTTAAACCACTAGAGAATGAAATACTACTGGCAACTGTTTATTCAAAAAAGAAAGATAAACACGTTTCTTTCATTTAAAGAAACTTCCCCTGCAAGATACTATAAAATTATTTTTATTGATTCATCTGATAGCTTGACAGTTACCATAGCTTACCTTCCAAAAGGAAAACACACAAAAAAGAGGCACTTCCTCTGACAATAGAACACATATTTACATATTAAATACATAAATGAAAGTTAAACTTGAAAACAAATACATTTTTGTCATGTGTTACTCTAAAATTACAGCTTGTATATTCCTGACTTGGCCATTTCACAGTTTTGCTATACCACACACACACAAAAAATACACATATATATCCAAGTTACTACATCTGTGAGATAAACCAGAGGTGAAAAATGGGGTTGCTGCTAAGTTGGAAATAAGGCAAATATTCTTGTCTTTGGAAGGGGTGGCTGAATGGGGGTCCTGGGACTATACAAATGTAGCTGCTCTCCAGCTCAGAGTCTGAGTGTGCTGGGGTACAAAGGGACCCCAGAGGGGCTGAAACGTCTCTAACATGCCCCACGTGTTCTTTTTTTTTTTTTTAAGATTTTATTTATTTATTTGACAGAGAGAGACACAGCGAGAGAGGGAACAGAAGCAGCGGGAGTGGGGGAGGGAGAAGCAGGCTCCCTGCTGGGCAGGGAGCCCGATGCGGGGCTCGATCCCAGGACGCTGGGATCATGACCTGAGCTGAAGGCAGACACTTAACGACTGAGCCACCCAGGCACCCCCCCACGTGTTCTTTTACCAAAGGTGAAAGCCCTACAAACTGGGCTTAGAGTTTCTTGTTTGGCTTATTAGCTGCAGCTGTATTTTCCCCACTTCTCCCTTTTGGCCGTAGTGTTGCTAACCTTTGTAAACATTTAAATGTACAATTAAATGCTCACTTGTGCTCCATCTGAGCCACATTCTGCTCTAGTTTTGAAAGCATAGCTCTCAGGAACCTCAACATGATCTTACGGTTTCCACAAAGAGCAGAATATGGCTGTTAATAGGTAGATGTTAAGATTGTTGCTATCATCATCAATTGAGGTTGGCTGAGTCTGGGTGGCCTTTGCTCTGTGCTGAATGCCCTGCTGCTTCACACAGCCATATGCAGTAAACATGACTCTCTGGTAAGTCATACATCCCTGTTTTTCAAAGAAGCATAAATCCCTCCTGCAAAGAATCCATCAATATGATAAACCTATATAATGAAATTTCCAAAAATTGAAACATTTTGTAACCCACTCCCAAATTTTGATACCTTAACACACAAGAAACTAGACTCCAAAAGATAAAAACTAATTTTTCTTTTCTGGGTTGTGGACCATAGTCACACCTTGTCTGTGTCTACTTATTTATAGATCGCCTCCCCACATAAGCCTCCAGAGGGCGGCTGGGGAAGGTCTCTCCAAACCCTGACCTGGCTGTAAACCCCATCTCATTTCTCTGTGGAGCATCTATAATTCAGGCTATTACAATACAGAGTCAACAAATCAGGTTTCACTAGAAATGAATAGGGTAAGAAATTTTAAGAACACACATCACATAATTGTAAACAGTGGTGTTTCTCTTGGCTTTGAATAAAGACCCAGAGGTCTCTAGACCTCTTTAAAAAATTAGGGACACCAGAGGTCTCTAGACCTCTCTAACAAATTAGGGACACCAAGCACAAACGTTGGAACAATTAATATCATCCTATCATCCCTTTAAGACTTTTAACACTGGTTACAATATATGAAATTGTAGTTGCTGTTAACAACTCGAAATGAAAACATCTACTGTACTGGCTCATGAATATAGAGTGACTGCACATTGTTAAAGATGTTATCAAATAGTTTTGAAAATACATTTAGATGTTTTGTTATAAGAGATAACTTTTAAAAGGTAAGGTTTGTTTTTTTTTAACATGGTTCTTTGACAGAAAATGTAACATATTCCTCAGCTTACCAGAGACTGGGTGGTAAAACAGTGTCACAGACTGGACTCCATGTTAGTTTGACAGGAATTGCTGGGCCAATTTCTGTACATAAGAGGCCTTATGAAAATCTTGTGAAAAAACATCCGAAATACTGGTGTTCTGAAAATTATGAAAATCCAAGGGTCCACAATGGAGATTACAGATAGAAAACGCAAGGCTCGGAGGTCTTCCATTTCTTCAGAGGTTCCATCTTTCTCATGGACAGTTTTAAATGCTCCATAGTAAGCGCGATACTGTTTTAAAGAAAAACATCCCATTATGATATTGAAAGGTTGATAACAGAAATAAATGCACTTACCTTACTTTAGAAACATTAATTTCTTATGAACATGGCAGCTTGGCTTGGAAGATTCGTTTTTGGTAAATGTATAAGCCGCAAAGGCCATTGCTGCGAATGGGGGCGAGTGAGGAGCCGAGCAGGTGCAGGGCTGAGCTGAAGGCTCAGTGGAAGTGGGGTACTCCTGGGAGCCCGGGTCTCAGTCCCTGGAGGCTGTTCTGCCTGCTGTGAGGCTGCAGGGCTGGAGTCTCCAGGTCCCTCCACGCAGAGGAAGAGTTGAGGTGGGGCCAATCCAATCCACTGAATCTCTTATGAACAGGGTCAGCACACTCCCATAAACACAGAGGTTCTCTTTCCTCCAGTTATCCTTTCTTTCTTCTGACTGCTTCCTGTCCTCTTATTAGCCCAGAAATAAGCCTTACTTGGTGAAACGTCATGTATATGGAGACAACGATACAGAAATTTTAATCAATGTGAGGAGACAGGAAATACTCCAGTGAGAGGACTGGAGGAGACTTAGAAAAGGACTTGTTTAACTCCTGTGAATTGCTTATTCTTAGGATAGATGGTTATTACCTTTACTGTGGTTGATGCCCTCTTTTCAGACTAGAACACACAAACACACACACACACAGAAATATAAGCCTACTTACTTGTGCCTGACCGCCCCTATTGTCTTGATCTTCCTGAAGGTGTCAGGTCTCCTTGGAGCCCTGCAAACTGCCCCCTCACATGGCTTTTCCTGCCATTGAGCCAAAATGGCCAACATGTCAGCTAGTACCACAGTTGCCTCCCACTCTGTTGGGGGCCAGCCATTCCGTTCCCCATGCCTACTGAGATTCTAAATCCATAAGGGCACAAAATGGACTCTAATAGGACAGAAAATATGTAAACTCAACATTTGTGGAAGGGGATATGAATAACTGCCCAGACTAGACCCACTCGGGGCAATCAAGGAATATGAGATGTGTTTTCCCATAATTGTTTCCTTACCTTTTACTCTCTTTTTTATAGAGCATTTCAGCAGGCTCAGACATTCCCGTCTACCCCACTTAAGAAGATATACTTGTGGGGCACCTGGGTGGCTCAGTCAGTTAAGCATCTGACTTGGGTGCAGGTCATGATCTCAGGGTCCTGGGATCGAGCCCCGTGTTGGGCTCCACATCAGCAAGGAGTCTGCTTGTCTCTTTCCCTTTCTCTCCACCCCTCCCCCTGCTTGTGCTCACTCTCTCTCAAATAAAATCTTTTAAAAAAAAGAAGATATACTCATATCTGAATGCCCTTTCCCATCATCAATTACTACTGACTAATAATAATAATAATGGCTAGTGCCCATGTAGAGCTTACTATATCCAGGCACAGTTCTAAGCATTTTATTTGTTAAATTTTTAAAGATTTTTCTTAATTTATTTGAGAGAGAGAGAGTGAGAGAGAGCACAAGCAGGGTAAAGGGCAGAGGGAGAAGCAGACACCTCGCTGAGCAGGGAGCCTGATGTGGGACTCGTTTCTGGGACTCTGGGATCATGACCTGAGCCAAAGGGAGACGCTTAACCGACTGAGCCCCCCAGGCGCCCTAAGCATTTTATTTTAAAAACTTCTTTTTACCCTCACAAAAATCCTATGAAGGATGACTGTTATCGCCATTTTACAGATGTAGAAACTGAACATTTTACTTTAAAATCTTTTGGATTTTACATGCCCAAATCCTAGCTCTGTTCAAGGTCTGTCTCAAATACTACGCCCTTCAGGAAGCCTCTCTGAGGTAGTGGCTAAGCCCAGTAGCTTTAGAATCTGACTATGGGGTTGGATGAAATCCCCTCACTGGCTGTTTGAAATCGAGCATGTTATTCCGTCTCCTCATCTACACAATGGGGATAATTGTACCTACCTTCCTTCCGTGACTGTTAGGAAGTCTGAATAAGATGGCATGAGTAGGACCTTGACAACAGGTCCTAGCACATAATAAGAACTCAAAAGTTTGTTATTATTTTATCAATTAGTAGTGACTCCTTTTCTCCTCTAAACTCCTTTATGGCCCCAATCACTCCATCCCTCACCCAGTATTACAGCTGATGTGGGCAGATGTAATATTTTTCTTATTTTATATCCCCACAATGAACTACAGTGTGTTGAATGTTGTAGGTACCAGCTGCATGCTGAATTTGGTTAATGGTTGCCAATACACTTAAGCTGATTTAAAAAGCAAATACTTTATGTAAGTTTGTTTTTACATTTGCTCCTTCTTCTTGAAAGTGAAGTACAGCAAAATATAATTCCAACTATTTCAGAATACTTGATTAGTTGGGATCTGAGTAATAAAATGACATCTACATAACCAAAATCATTTTATTTCTATATAGTATTTATCCATGTCAATTCTATTGCATATAATTAGGTTATTTGTATTTTCAAGTCACTTGATTTATATTAGAAATGTATTGTTCTATACCTGGCTTTTTAATTTTACTTTTATTTATTTTATTTTAGGTTTACTAAAAATGTGACAGAAATTAATTCATTTATGACAGTGATCAAAGTACATATTAATTCTGAAAAAGGTATCAATTTGAACTCAATTTAGACTTTCAAAAAATCTCTGTTGCTCAACACTATTCTCTAGAACACACTTTATAAACTGCTCCTGTAAAAGATGGCTAGATTAGTGAATAACCTCAGAACATACACCCCACATGTTTAAAGTAGTTCAATTTACACAGGGAATTGGCGTGAGAAGAGCTCCCTCTATTGGACTTAGGAGTCCATGAAAAAATGTTGCTGTTGTCAGTTTGCTGGAGACTCATGTAGCTGGACATCCCTGCTGAGGAGCGCTCTCTGGATTCTCATGCCCCTTCCATCCAGTTCATCCATCACAACAACCTAGACCTCATCCTCTGCTCTAGCCCTTTAAATCCACTTTCAACCCTTTTCCCTGGGCCCATGTTTTGCCCACCATCCCTTACGTATTTCTATCAGCTTCCTTTGAAAGGAGCATCACACTCAAACTTTTTGCCCACCAGAATGAAATACATACGTGCAAGATGTCCTCCATCATGTCTCTGACTCCATGGATTCTGATATATGCAACTACACAAGGTCATACTTACCTTTACCAGGCTTGTCAACCTCTCAAGCTATTATGTCCAATCTCTCATTAAATCCCTCTCTCATCTATCCCTGCTCACCTACCACCCTCCGATACGTTGTAGGTCTCTAAGGTAAAATGAATTTTTTTTTAAGATTTTATTTACTTATTTGACAGAGAGAGACACAGCGAGAGAGGGAACACAAGCAGGGGGAGTGGGAGCGGGAGAAGCAGGCTTCCCGCTGATGTGGGGCTCGATCCCAGGACCGTAGGATCATGACCTGAGCTGAAGGCAGACGCTCAACGACTGAGCCACCCAGGCGCCCCGGTAAAATTAATTTTGATGAAAATATGTTATATGCATTAGAAAATGTGCTGCAAACAGCTTCTAAACCTCACCCCATATTCTATGTACTTTCTTCCTGAGAAGGTTTTCAAGTTGGAAATTTGAAAATTCAATTTGGGGAAGTATCTTGGTCTAATGCAACATTATAGCAAAATTAATTTAAAAAATCAAACTGCAAAATTAATTTAAAAGATCAAACCCCAACACACTTTTCATTGGCTTAATGAAATACAATATTCATGTTATGAGCAAGGTTTCTTTTTAAGGTTCTTTTCTCCATTCATATATAGCCTTATTTTTCCCAGTCACTAGACCCAGAAGAGTGATTAGAAGAGTGATTTTCAAAGTGTGGGGGTTTCCAATACTCTGTCAGTGTGTCTTCAGAGTCAAAACTATTTTCATAAAACCGAAATTATGTGCCTTTTTCACTCACAGGTGTACAGTAAGTTTTACCAACATCATCCTTCCCATGTGTAATGACATCATCACTCCCACGGCTAATGGAATATATAGTATTCTTGGATTTTCTATACCTTTCTAAGGTAGTTGACTTGGGGTATACACATATGTACATTTTCAGAGACTGTTCTCAGTACTTCTGTGCTCTTAACATGCTTTTTTCTGTTTTACCTGCTATAATCTCTATAATTGTATTATCATCATTCATTAACTCATTGTGAAAGCCCAAAGTTTTCCTTACACCTATGCGAAAACACAAGAAGTACATTTTGTTAAATTGTTTTGCAATAATGTTTAAAATTTCTCTTATTTTAAATTTCTAATATGATAAATACTGATAGATATAATCTACAAAAATAAAAGTTCTTTGCATCCTTAATAATTTTTAAGAGTGAAAAGGGGTTCTTAGACCAAAAAATGTTAGAAAACCACCGCATTACAAAATAATGCTCACTGGGTGATGTCAGGAAGTGTTGAATCAATCACTATATTGTACATCAAAAACTAATATTACACTGTATGTTAACTAACTGGAATTTAAATTTAAAAATTTTTTTAAAAAGAAAATAATGCTATTTCCTGAGGAGATCATATTTCTTGGTTAATTTTCTATATCCAGCAGGCAATAATAATAAATGGAAATGATAATTAGGAATAATAGTACAAATTTTTGACGCCAGGCACCTAGTTAGGGGCTTTATATATATCAAATCTTCATAACTATCTTATAGGGCAAGTATGGTTATCCTTGCTACAGATCAGAGAACTGAGGTTAGGGGCGCCTGGGTGGCTCAGTTTTTAAGTGAATGCCTTTGGCTCAGGTCCTGATCCCCTGGGATCCAGCCTGATGTCGCAGGGAGCCTGCTTCTCCCTCTCCCACTCCCCCTGCTTGTGTTCCCTCTCTCGCTGTCTCTCTGTCAAATAAATAAAATCTTTTTAAAAAATAAAGAAAAGAAAACTGAAGTTAGAAAAGATAAATAAGCCACTATCACAGCTAGTAAGTGATAAAGGCTAATTCCAACCCAGGTATTATGCTAAAGCCCTTATCCTTTCTAGAAAGTTTTAGTTCCTGTGAAGAATGCTGTCTGAGTTTCTTATCCTTGGAACATTACAGTTTTTTATAAAATCATTTTCAAATCCATTATTTCCTTCCATCCTCACAATCCCCTATAAGTTAGTTATTCAAGTCCCCTGAGAGACGTGTCCAAATGCAATGCTCTCGTATTATACTCTATTATGCTCTTTTCTGCATTATTATTACTAAGACATTCAAACTGAGGACATAATATCCATGCATTTGGCTACTGTCTGCTTCTACACAGCATAGGTAAGTAAGGCTATGAGTTTAGAGCAGGGGTATGCAAACATTCTCTGTAAAGAGCCCAAGAGTAAATATTTTAAGTTTTATAGATCAAGAGGCAAATGGTATTTGGTAGGTACTTTTATAACAAGAGAGAAAACACATTTTCACAACTTTCATTGGTGAAATTTAAAATGTAATAATAATTAAGTACTTTGGGGGTAATTCATGTCTACTATGGAGAAAAATCAAAGTCTTTTTTTTTTTCTTGGAATAGTATTTGAGCTAGTTGGAGTTTAGAGTTCCTGTGCACTATCATCAAACTGATTTCAAAATCAGTTCATTTGCAAAAACTCTTCTTAATTCCACCCACTGTACAAAAACAACAGCAGGATGGATTTGGACTGGGGGCTGTGGTTTGCCAACTCCTGCCTTAGATTGTGGTTCTCCCAGATGGGATCCCTGGACCAGCAGCTTTCACCTTACCTAGGAACTTGTTAAGAATAAGAATTCTTCAAAAACATCTGAACCAGAAACTCGGGGGTGGGGGTGGGGCAGCCATCTGTGTTTTTAAAAGCTCTGCTGATGATTCCCAGCAGGCTAAAGTTTGAGAACCACTGCTAAATATCTATGCCCATATCTTCTCTATTCATATAGATTTATTTATTCATTTTTGGGAATTCTGATCTTAACCCTGCATGATGATGCCACAGACAACTCTTTTCCCACACATTAAGGCCTTCGTTTAAGGACAATCACATTATATTTCACCTTTATGCAATCTTGAAAGTAACATCCAAAATTGCTGCATTGCCATAAGAAACTTAACATTCCTATTCACAGAAGTCTCAGCGTTCAAAGGCACTGAATTGGCAGTGAATTGATTTAAATGTTGTTCGTGTTGAACAAGTACACTGGGCCTGGGGGAAAGAAGCAACCCTCAGAAAGTCTTCTCAGCATCAGCCGCTGCCAGAAGTCTTGGCCGGGATCCCAGGGGGAAATGCCTTCAAAACGACTGGGTAATTCCATCTCCACCACCACCCCCATTAGTAAACTGAAACCCGAGATAATGACTTCCGTGTCACCTCGCTTGCCGAGACAGACACAAGACCTGTTAAGGCAGGTTATCCAAACGACACCACTGGCTGAACCGTACCTACACCCCTGCCTGTCCAGACAGCCTCTCCGCCTCTGTCGCCACCATCCTCCGCGGCCGCAGCACCAAGAACAGCAGCCGCCACGCCTCCAGGTTTCCGTACGAGTTTTTAAAAACTAAATCTCCTTTTAGTCTCTCACCTGTGCAAATCACTCTGGCATGAGTACACCTTCCCTTACTCTCTTCCCACGCCAGCACCTGGGGAAAAACGACCAGGTGCATTAGCCCATATCTGATGCCATTAAAATCATCGGCAAGTCTAAGAAATAAAACGTTACCTAGCCACCGGGAAAGAAGGGACTCGTACTGCCAAGGAGCAACCAAATTCTGCTTCTCGAAATTCTGAGGCGTAAAAACAACCCCGAGATCTCCCCAGAGGGAAGAAGAGAGGAGGGGGTGCTGCTAACCGGAGAGGTTTTGCGGGGCTAGGAAGACACCATCAGACTCGGTCTCTCCCTCCCCTGTTCGGGCTCAACAAACTCGGTTCCATGTCCTCCGGGCTGTGGAGGTAACCATATGTGGGGAGCGCCACAACAAACCGTCCTGGCCCAGGGCGCAGCTCCTCCTGCGCGGCGTCCAGCACGCTCCCTCCTTCCCTCCCGCACCCGCCGCCGGCCGCGCTCCAGTGCCCCCAGCTGCCTCGGCGCGAAGGGACTCACTATTAAAGGCAGGGAGCACATGGTGAAGAGCACGGTCATGAGGGCCAGCAGCAGCAGATGGTCCAGCTCCTCCAGGGGCTGCGCGGCCGCCTCCCTCTCGTCGGCGCCCGGCTCGGCGCGGTCGCGAGTGCCGGAGCGCGGGTGCCGCCGGAGCCGCAGGTGCATCGCGTAGAGGTTGCGCATGGCGCTCAAGTTGCACAGCACGATGGCGAGGACCGGCAGCGCCATGAGGCTGGCGTAGAGCACTGAGTAGCCCAGCACCGACAACGAGCGCTCCTCGTGCACCATCTGGATGAAGCACCAGGTGCCGGGACAGTACTGCACGAACTTCCCGAAGCCCGCTAGGGGCAGCGCGCAGAAAGCCAGGCAGAAGGCGCCCACGACCGGCGCCACGAGCGCGCCGCGGCGCAGGGTGAAGTGCCGTCGGTAGAAAAAGGGGTGCCCCAAGGACAGCCAGCACTCCAGGGCCATGGCCAGGAGCTGCAACGTCGAGGCGAGCCCAAAGAAGGACATGAAGAAGGCGAAGGCTTGGCACAGCGAGCTGCCCGACGCGGGCGCCAGTCCCCACAGGCTCCTGTTCTGCGCGTAGGCGGCCAGCACGAAGGGGCTCACGAGGGATTTGCCCAGCAAGTCTGTGACCGTCAGGCCGCACACCAGCACGTAGAAGACCGAGGGCGGCGGGCGCGGCGGGCACGACCCCAGCCCCGAGCGCGCCAGCAGCCCCAGGGCCAGCAGGTTGCCCAGGAGGCCGGCGCTGAAGAGCACCCCGCCCATCGTCGCCGAGTTGCCCTTCTCCACCGAGGTGGTGTTGTGGCAGCGGTAGAGCGGCGGCGGCATGGCGGGCGGCGCAGCGGGCAGGAGCGGGTTTGCGGGAGGGCCAGGGCCCGGCGTCTGCGTATGGGAACCCCCGGCGGCTCCGGACGAGAGGCTGCGCCGCAGGGGCAGCTCCGCTGGCACGGGGGTGTGAAGCACGGCCGGCGCCTCCTCTCTAAACTCTCGGGTCACACCCCGCCTCTCGGGGCGGGCCGCGCGGCCGAGTGCGCACCCCGCGCTGCCATTGCGGAGCCCCCAGCAGCCGCGCAAAGATCTCCGCGCTGACCCGCGCGGGCCCTGAGAGTCGAGCCCTCGCGCCCACAGTCGGAAAGAAAGAAACGTAGCCAGAGCCTGAGCACCCAAGGCCTGTCTTTCCTGCGAGGCAAGAGAACTGCTGAAGTGGAGGGGAGATTAAGCCGCAGCCCCTAGGGAGGAGAGGGGCGTGAGGAGGAGGTGGTGGCGGCGGTGGTGGCGGCGGAACTCTTGAGAGTCGCGCGGAGGGTTGGCTGAGAAAAACCACTAGTTTCTGAATTCGTGGGGGTAAGGAGGGGTAAAGGTAACTCACATTTGCATAATACTTAAGCCTTAGTGCGCAGAGTCTTGCAGGTCCTTGCAAGCTGAACAATGATCTTTATTGTATGGGTGAAGGAAAGTGAGACCTCGGGCGGGTAAGCTGTCTTTGCCCAAGGTGACAGAGCCAGTAAGTGGCGGAAGTGGACCTGGAACCGGGATCTTGTATTTATAGAGTCCATCGGTCTTGCTTCCATACCTTCTCCTCTGGAGAGGTTGGCTAGATTTCAGGGAAGTGGCTCCAGGACAAACCGAGAAGAGATGCTAGCCTTGGGTACCATGAATCACAGTGGTTGTGTGTAGACTGTGGGAGGAGTAGGGTTAAGAGCACTAATGCTGTTATCGTATAGACGTGGGTTCGAGTCCGGTTCTGCCGTCCACTCGCTGCTTTTGTGAGCCTGAGGGCCTTGCTTAACTTCTCAAGAAGTAACCTCTAGCCAGCCGGCTTGGCTCTTCTCAGGTGTAGGGATCACATTTGAAAAGGGCAGACACCTAGGAAGTGCTGGGTACAATGCAATTGTCAGGATTCTCACCTGTTTTAGTAGCAGAAGTTTAACTGCAGTTTTTAGCATGGATTTTGAAACCAGAAAACAGTAGACTTGATTTAGAGCTTTCTCTGTTTTGTGACTACTAGAAAACATTGGTTCCCTTCTGGCCTTTAACTTGCCTGCTTCATAGAGGCAAGGGCGTTCACGCTAGTAAGTGTGATTTCTTTCTATAACCCTTGAAAAGCTGGGAGAGCAACTGTCTTTGAGTGTGGAATTTGAGGGGGATTGATTAATGGGACCATATTACACAAGCAAGTAGATTATGCTTGGCTTCAAGAAGCTCATTCTTAGGCTCAGTGCCTGTTTTAATGGATAGACTCAGGGCGAGAGAGCAAGACTCTTGAACTTTCGATGTGAAAGCCAGAGAAGCTGCCTCCAGACTGAAAGTGTGGCCAGAAATTCAGGCCATGGGATAGAAATGAAGAGTCCAAGCTTTGGAATTGGATAGTTCTGGAATTGGATAGCTGTGGCCCTGGTTTAGTTTACTCAATTTCTCCTAGTAAATCTCCTTGCAAATGGGATATGGGATTTATGCTCACCTCCTAGGGTTGCTGTGAAGTTGCAAAAACCCATTGTGTTTGGCAGAGAGTAATAATATCAACAATAATAATAACAATTAACATTTATGGGTCTTTATAAATGCTAGGCACTTTCAAATCCTTTCACATCTGTTGATTCAGTTAATAGAAGGCCTCCCACGGGGTGAGTTCCCTTGTCATCCACTATCTCTCCAGCCCTTAATGAAGAATGAGGGGTTTAGAGGAGCACCACTTGAGTTGATGAAGTGGAAAAAGGAGCAGGCTCTAAAACCAAGACACAAAATCTGATGACATCTGAGGTCTCCTTTCCAGACAAACACACACACACACACACACACACACATATACAAGCACAAACACTCACAATTTACACTAATTACAGTGTGTTACCAGTTTCCTGAAGTCCTACTGTGGTGCCCGGAGGAGGCCCAATGGACTAGCTTAAGAAACCTCCTCTAAGGACGTTGTCCCGGAGTTTTCTCTGAAGCATACCTACTCCAGTTCTTTGCAGCTTTGTTGTTCTGTTACAGCTGCCTTCACCTCTGTACCCCTTCTAGAATTCATGCAGGGAGAGAGGAACCCACAAACGTAAGCAACTTTTTAGAAACAATTCCAAAGAGTGACAGAAGGGAGAACTGTGATCCTTGACAGTGTTTATATATGTCATGCCTCAAAGTGTGATGGCCTTGCATGTGTACAATTCAGGAAACCACATGTTTCCTCCTGGCTAACATAGCTGGCCTTTAGCATGGGGTTTCCGGCTGCTTCCCTGCCCACTTCGCTCCTGTTCACCCTGCTCAGTTCTCAGGCTGAACTTCGGAGTCTCCTAAGAATTCTGACTTTACAAATTTACCGTTTGGCCAAGAAAAGTGTAATTTGTTCATGCATCATGCACTTTTTGAGCTCTTACTTTGGTGCCAAGCATGGCAGTGAGGGATGTGGGGACTGAGCAGTGCACAGCAAATAAAGGAAGGCAGATGTCATGTCCTGTGAATTTTACATGGTTACAGATTTTTACATCAGTTTTCAAAGTAATAGGGCTAAACTTTTTTTTTTTCCGGTGAGAGGAAAATTTGTAATGAAAATATCTTGGGCCCAATTATATAGTAAATTATCTTCATTATTTGCAGAGCTGTACTAGTCAGCTTAATTGGCTTAAAAACAGTCTGGAAAAATATGCATGGCATAATGTGAATAGACAAATCTGAATATATAATTATGATTTTGTAATTGTAAAAACCGTATATGCCCATGAACAAGACCTAGAAGTTGACATAGGCACAGGAAACATTGACGTAAACTTGAGAAGGGATGGTAGAAAAATTTCTTTTTGGCTTTCTGATATATCCAATGTAGTATCTGTAATAGTTATCTCAAAAGATTTAAGCAAAAGTCAAGTGTATGCTCACGGCCTGATTTTAGGAAGGGGAGGAGAAGGAGAAGAATAGTTTTTCCAAGGTCCTTCTTGACTCTGCTTCTAAATCTTAGCCATCTCTCACTCCTAATGAACTGCAAGCAATATTTCAGGTTGTGGATTGTGAAAAGCAGAGAATGGAGAAGAGGAAAGCTAAAAAGCAAAGAACATATGAGCTACCAATTTTGGAGTATCTTCTGCATGCTCAATCCATGCTGGAAGAAGGTTCTTTACATTCAGTAGGTGGGATGATAGGACAGCAGCGTGCTGATGATGGGTAAAGTCTTTGGGGTCATACTGTGTGAATTCAACTCTCAGCTTTGCCCCTTAATAGTTTCGTATGCTTGAGCAATCTTCTAACCTTTCTAAACCTCAATTTCCTTGTTTGTAAAAATGAGGGGAGGACAGATAATTGTACTAAACCCTCGGGGGAGTTCTGTGGCTTCAGTAGAAGTATCTGCAGAGAGCAGTAGTTCTCAACCTTGACTGCGTTGTAGAATCACCTGGAGGGAGCTTTAAACGTTTTTGATGCTTCAGCATCCCCAACCAATTATATCAGACTCTCTGGGGATGCTTTCCCAGCTTCAGTATTTTTGAAGGTCCCCAGTTCGTTCCACTGCGCAGCTAAGGTGAGAACCACTACTAGTTCACGTTAGTGTGAAGCACGGTGCTATGACATGCTTTGCATGCCTCTGCCAGTGGGGTTAATGTTTTCATTCCTGCCAACCGCACCAAAGAATTTTTTTATCTCCCTTTTTGCAGGTAAGGAAAATGAGACTCAGGTTAATAACTTCTTCAAGCTCACATAACTAATAAGGGATGAGGATAGAATGGTATCTAGGTCTTTTGGATTCCTTAAGCCTCTGCTTTGGAGAAAAGGAAGAGCAGAGGAGGTAAGAGAGTGAGAGAAAAAGCAAGGACTCTGCGATTCCCTGTGTGTGCTCAGAAGTTGGGAGGCAGAGTTACCAGCGGGGTCAGACAGCATGCCTGTCCCCTACATTTCTGCTAGTTGCATAATATCTTGTGACCACATCAGCACAAATGTCATTTCAGCATCTGTTTGCTAAAATTTGCAGGTAGTTTAGTAAGGTCTTCATTTTGTCTGATTCTGATTTCAGCTTTTTAGGGTCCCCCAACCTTTCATCCAGCAAGAAATTCCATTTTGATACCTTTTGCTGCCAAAGCGAGAGATTAAATCCTTCAGAGATTCTGGGGAGTGGGTGTGTCTTGGCCAACCTTGGTTGACTTTTTGTGTCGATGTGTAAATCCGAATCAGAATCTCTGTATGTTCAGACTTAGAGAAAACATACTCTCAGTTTTAGCTTGGCTGTAGTTTAAACCCTGAAGATCAGCATGAATTTTTGAAAATGTCTTTGGGTGATGACCTACGAGTAAATAAATGGTGGAGTAATACATTCGTTAACTCAATTATAGGTTGTGACAATTCACCAGATACTTAGGTTTTCTGGCATTTTGCTTGTGGTTCTAAGGGAAGTTGTTGGAAGTGTGGCCAGTTCCCTGTGAAGCAGACTCTGAGATGGAGATTAGCATGTAGGATATTTATTAGGGAGGACTTTTGGACTGACACCCGTGAAAGGGAGGAAACAGAAGCAGGATTGGACAGAGAGAGAAGTCGTGCTGTGATACAGTTTCAGTAAAAGGTCTTACCCAAACCAACCAGAAACTCGAAGATGAAAGGGTCCCCAGGTTATCCTGAGTTGGAGGTGAGGGCCTTTACACCCTTGGTGGGTCAGGCACTGGGACCCAAGGGAAGGGCATATGGCCTTAGGTGCAGCCAGTCTCTTGAGACAAAGCAGTACCTGGAGGAGGCTGACAGCTAAGGGCTGTGTTGGCATCTGGAGGAATAAGTCCTTTTGTCTGGGAGGCGATCTACATGGCACATCACAGTGACCACTACCAGGACAGTGCTGATGGGCATCTCAGCTGAGACCC